TTTTTTGGGGAATTTGGGGAAAATGGGAATTAAGGATTTTGGGTGGTGATTAAACCTACCCTTAAATATTTATGTAATAAGTGTACGATTTTTTGGGGTTGTTTGCGATGGTTTGTTGGGAGTTGTGATGTATTTAGAAGTGGAGTTTTTGGAGGAATTTGGAGAAAATTAGAAATTAATGTTTTTCGGTGGTGATTAGACATTAGACCCTTAAATGTTTATGTAATAAGTGAAATTGGAAATGGGAATTTGGAAAAAATTGGAAATGGGGGTTTTTGAGTATCATTAGACCAACCCTCAAACCTTCATGTAATACCTGTATATATATATCGTATGTCTACAGTCCTTTTAGGTTGCCTGCAAGGTTTGTTGAGGGTTGTGAAATACTTGAAAATTTTGAAAAGGTTAGAAATGAGAATTTTTGAGTAATTATTAGACCCATGAAATTTGATGACAATTGGAAGTGAGGATTTTTGTATGATTAATTGCCCAATTTTTAAACGTTTGTATGATAATCACGTATATGTATATATACAGAGTGTCCCATTTTCATTAATGGATACGAAGATATGAATAACGTATGTATATATACAGATAATCAAATTTCTTGTACATCTTAACGTTTATGTCACATGTTGACTCTTAAAACTGTACTGTGTTAGATTTTAGTTGATTCATCATATTAATCGACTGTCAGTTTGTCCACGTATCTCGTTCAGTTCCATAGTAAATTCAGTCTTCGATAAACTGTTCTACTAATTATATGTATTACTCACAAAATTTTCTTTATGAATTAGACTTCGCAATAACGAACCATAATTCCCCAGGGTTTAAAAAGAGTCAGATAAAGTCCTTTAAAACCATGTAAATTTCGTAGAAAACCGTAACTTATAAATAAAAAAAAATTACAATCTGTGTAAAATCGATTTTAATTACTCTCAATTAAAATATTCATTTGTTGCATTAAATTGACAATTTTTTAATCAAAGGAAATATTTTTTAAACCTATTTCATCGTTAAAACGCTTAATTTTGGGGAATTTGGGGGAAGACGTGGAAGATGGTAATAGAAATAAGGATTTTCGAGTGATCGAAGAGATTAAAAGGAAAAATGAGGGAAATTCTTCGACACAATTCTGTACCGTGACATTCGACGAAATTATACACATTTTCACGTGAAATCAATGATAATGACTCTTATTAAAATGTTTGTTTTTTGCATTAAATTGGCGTTCACCGGGCCGTGTTTCAATGCGAACGCGGCTGAATATCGAATGCAGTTTTGAAGTCGCGCACACGCAATTAATTCCGACGAAATTGTCAAAACTGATTAACACTCGACTCCGATTACAAATTCATCAGAAATTACCAGCAGCCCGGTGCTGGCTGTCCACTGGTTAATAAAACGTTGCGGATCATTCGGATTAACGTGTTGAAACGTAAATCATTTTACAGTTCGCGTGCCGAGCTATCGAAATCCGTTTAAACTACGACTCTAACCAATGAAGGAAGAAAAAGGGAAGGAAAAAATTGCTTCAACCCTCGTTTGCTGTTTCACGAACACCCTCCACAGCCTCCATCGAACTCTT